GTCTGTTTATATAGGCTGCTACACAATGGATCAATGGATACATTGCTGTTTTAAAATGTTAGAAAGTCTTTCACTGAAGTTTGGAAGATCTTTTGCTTCATGGAAAACTACATATGAAGAAGATAATACATCCTAATTTGTCAGATGCCTTGTTTTCTCTATATCTAAGCCCTCTCTTGTGCTTACTGTAGATGTACTTTAATAACAACAGACTGTTTTTTCCCACTCTCTTAAAATGCTGTTTACCTTCCTGTATGCCTATGATGAAATATATCCTCACTTCTTTTGTAGTTAGTGGCTTTTTATAAGAGAAAGAAAGGAGCTCTGGTTTTGGTTGTTTGGGGTGTTTGGTTTCTTTTTAAGTTTCTAGTTTTAGTATGTCTGCATCCGGTAAACAAGTACATGCATGTTTTGAAATAAATATTTTAATAGGCAAAGGCTTCAGTTGATTAGAACTAGTGTGCTGCTGCAAAATACACTTTTTTTGGCATCAAATATGCACTCATTTGAGCCACTGCAAACCTTCATTAGATTTTTTTTTCTTGTTTTTTTTCCCCCATTGTGTTCCCATCGAGAGTTATTGCAAAGTGAGAAAGATATTTTTTACATTAACTACTCTACTCTGACTAAAAACCAGTGAAAGATTTACAGGTTCCCAGATTCCCGCTTTACTATTGTTTCCTGCAAGCATGGAAACTGATAATGCTATAGAAACAATGTCAGACTCTGCTTTCACCATGACCTGTTTTCCATCAATTTAAAAAGTCAGTCACATCAGCTTATTTTTAGAAGAACACCTATATACTCTAATCAAGTACATTTAATTTGTTTTATTATTTCTAAATAACTTTAAACTCAAAACAACTGAATATTTGGTTTCAGCTTCTACCTAAAACCTCCCTCTTTGTTATTGCCTTCTGAACTGTGACAAAATCATTATGTAGCTGGAGTTCAAACAATTAAAGAAGGTCCTTCATTCTACCAGGTTTATTTTCCTTTTAAAATCATCAACTTCTAGAACAAAATATCTCTGTAGTGGTAAAACTTCCTATGGTGGTCTTGTTCCCTTACTCATTCCTTTTCACAAAGAAAACTCCAGAGATCTGAAGTAAGGTACATTCCTTCCATTTAATTTTTGAAGGCAAATGATACGTTTCTTTATGTATTTAACAACAAAAGTCTAACAAAGATATCGGCCTTTGCCTTATAAAGGTTACTGTCCTTCCCCCAGGTGAACACGAGTGACAGCTACCACCTTTCATTTCTGCAACAATGTATAATTAAAAAGTTACTGGGTAAATGATTTCCTAATCAGACACTGTCCACATAATTTTTTTCTTACTTGCACTACAAAGGGTTTTAGAATCATAGAATCACTCAGGTTGGGAAAGACCCCTAAGACCACCAAGTTCAACCACTGCCTAACACTACAAGTCCACCATTAAATCATGTCCCAACATCTCTTAAATGCTGCCAGAGATGGGGACTCCACCACCTTCCTGGGCAGTACATTCCATTGCCTGACCACTCTCCCCAGAATCAGAAATTCTTCCTGATACCCAATTTAAGCCTCCTTTGGCATAGCACGAAGCCATTGTCTCACATCCTATCACTTGTCACTTGAAAAAAAAAAAACTGGCACACACTTTGCTGCAATCTCCTTTCAGGTGGTTGCAGAGTGATGAGGTCTTCCCTGAGCCTCCTCTTTCCCAGAGGAAAGCAACCTCAGTTCCCTCAGCCATTCCTCATATGTCTTTGAGACAGACTGAGACTACAGATCTCAAGCCAACAGGTATGATAAACCTAATCTGAACTCCAAATGAAAAAGGTGAACCTCTGAGTTCTTTGATGGCCAATCTTTTATAGTGCAAGCTGGCCGTAGTGACATCATGAAAGAAAAGAAATGAGATCCAAAGAACTCACATTATTTGCAATTTAAAACATTATATCTTCAGTTCTATAAAGGGGCAATGTTGCTCAAAATAAAATGTGATAAGATAAAATAAGAATTAAATTTTTAAGAGATTTGATGTTACAAGACATTTGTTACTCTAACCAGCTTCATTACTTACTACTTTTTATTACTTATTGCAGCAGACCTCTCCTTGTAGCTAGCTACCCCTGTGCGTGGCTCCCACAGTGCTAATCAGAGGTTGAAGCAGTCAGGGGAAAAGGAAAAGGTAAGGATGCAGCCAAACAAGCTACCTTAAAGGATAGAGAGTATGCTTCTTGGTGTTGGTATTGGCTCCAAGGCCAAACACTGCAATTCAGAAATGTCTAAAAACTCTCTCTCGCTGTCCTGATTTACAGACATTTGGGTATCCATGAAGAAAAGCCTGAAGCACCACTGCACAGCAGAGCTATCAAGGTATCACCATGCAGTTCAGAATGGCCAGGAATTAAAGATCAAACTCAATGTCAAATATTCCTAAAAAGCAGAGGCTTTGCTTTACCTATTTAATTGTTACATTAAAAGCTAACTACATTGATCATGATATTTACATGAAACTTCACTTGCACACGAGAGAAGGAAATTCTAGTTCATTGTCATAAATTATCTTCTATCTTCTCTCAAATGAAACAGTGGGAAGTAAACACCCTATTTTCCTATCTTGATGGACCTTTAACATACTCATTAAGATAAACATATGTCCAGCAGATGAATGGAGATAACTGGTCATAAGGGCTGACACGCAATATGCACGTGCTGAACTATGTGTACTGAACTATTCATGTCATCGTAGGATGGTTCAAGGTATTTTTACATGAAACCCTCTATTTATATAGCACCCTCTAGTCACAAAACCAAGCATTTTCCATTTCTTTTTCTAAACAAAGGATATAACAGTGCAATGAGAACTTGCCATTCAACAGCGGAAACTATTTGTAAAGCTGGGAAGCTGAAGACACTAGGAAGAAAAGGCTTTAATGAAACTGGCCACTGTACGTGCCAACTGTCAAGACTTTTTATATATTCTTCCAAGGAACACTGACTGAGGATTTTTCTGTGTTTACTCTTTACATCTCGATTATTATACTTCTTTGAAGGATGCCAAAGTACAAAATTCATAAGAAATGCCATATTAGAAACAGGCAGGCTTTTTTCCTCTGCAACTAGTCTGCAGTTGTACTCAATGACCCATTAACTTATTTTTGGTTCTGTACAAAGCCAGCATCAAGACATTTGCAACTCATTATCTAAGCTAAGCACAAGAATTCACCACTAGAGCCTCGGCTGACCCAGATCCAAAGGAAATCCCCATATGCTTGGAATTTCTGAAATACAAGCATTACAGTCGTTGCCTGGTAAGAAAACAGTTTCCATACACAACCAAAGATATGTTTATATTTATGTTTTTGGAGGCTTATAACTTGGCAAGAAGCACATATATCTTCCCAAGGCAGTAAAATTTTTATCACTGTCATCAGGGTAAAAACACAGTGAAGTTTTAAGTCACCAATCCACAACACCGAGGCAGTATAGCTGCAACAGTTCTCTAGACCAATATTTTAGCCCACAGTAGGAAATTCTTTACTTCTATTAAATCATTATTATAAAATCCCACTTTCAGCTGCAAATAGAAGTCCAATACAAAACAGCTCCACTCACTGTGTCATTAATTCATTGCCAGAGCATGGTTTGTCCCGTGCTGTGGGGAAGGAAGGCCATAGTGCATTTGACTTTGGTCTCTCCCCTTACAGAGCCTCCTGGAACAAGCCTGGAGGCTAGTATGTGCTAGAGTTGCACATACAGCTACATGTACTGAGGTCTGACCCCAGTGCCTTTGACTTGGAGAAGGGCATCTGCTGCACTCTCAGCAGTGCCCTCATCAGCCAGAGTTTGCTTGTGGGCAATATAGCTCTGTAAAATCTACCAGCACTGCAGTAGTTAAATGAGCAGAAGCCTTGCCTGGGAGTAACAGAATAACTAGTTGAATAACTAGTTGAGAACAGCCATCAGCATTACAGGAGTCATGCAAACACTTTGGTCATTCTCTCTTTCGGATCAAGACAGAAGTTCAGCTTATTTCCTTGTATTTGTAAACAGCACACAGAAAGATGGGGTGAACTAAGACAATCACATTTCCCACTCTGCTATGGAAAATGTAGAAGGTGACTTTGTAATTAGAGATGGTATGATAATGCATACAATAGGACTGGCTACAATAAGGCAGAAACCTTAACTCTGGCATTTCATATCTTCTAAGAGATCGAATTGGCAAACTAAATAACATTCTTTGAATTTTTGAAGTATCATAAAATCACAGAATGAGGAAATAATGAAATATTCTTCTATAAGACAGTACCATGAATAATACTCAGGGTGCAGAGTGGTGACCACTTATGTATTAATGCTAACTATAATTGCCAGGCAGCCGTATTTGAATTATTTTCTCCTCCAACCCAGGTGGGAAATAATTGCCTGACATGCACTGTCAGAAGCTGAGTAACTAATAGCAATGAGCTATAAGAGCTGCTGTGAACTCTTGATTATACAGAATAGCAAAATATGAGCCTTAAGTCACCAGTGAATCCCCTGCAATTCCCTTATGCTGTCTGACAATTGTGTCTCTTTTTCAGTCTGAGACCATTCACCACAATCCTAAATGTAGAAGATCCCTGGGGAGACCCATTTGAGATGCCTAGGCAGCTGGGGACACTTGCCTCCATGTCCTTGAGCTCCTTCTGGCAGCACATCCTAATGAAGCCACCCGTGACCTTACTAAGACTCATCCTGGAAGAGGCCCTTTCTCTTGCAGCAGTACTCTGATAGGGATCTTCAAGGTTAAAAACCCCCAAAACATTGATATTCCGTTTTCTGAGCAGAAACACAGGAACCATAATGTACTCAGTCAAACAGTCTCTTTTAGGATTCCATCCTCTACACATACCATTTTGAAAAGACTCATGGAATGATACCTGGATAACGCTTGATTTCAATTTTAAAACTACCATTTTGTGCATTGGCTCTGTGGCCATTACCATACAAAAAGCTTCACCTCTGCTCCTGAATACTTGTGGGTGTGCTGAACAAGCTCGGCTAAGCAGATTTCCTCACTGATTGGCATGGACTGAAAATGAAGTTTGAAGATCTCCCCACGAGTGGCTGCATCTGGCAAAGGCACATAGATAATTCTGTCTATTCTTCCTGGTCTCAGCAAAGCCTGCAAGGAAAATGTCACAGAAAATGGTATAAAGAACAGCACATCACATCACGAATGTAAAAACCGTAAGTCAATTAAAAACAATAATAGCAACAAAACCCAAAAAACAATTTCAGCAGAAGCAAGAAACTGCACAAGAACAAGTTAGGAGCTAGAGAGGTTGCTCTCTTACACTGCAATATATCAGTCACTAAAAAGACAGTAAAGCTATTCAGCTTGTGAAATATCAGTTTATGGAAAAAAGGCATCATAAAGGAACTAAAGTCATCTTCCTAAAATAATAATTTTAGGCTTGTTGCAAGGTGTGCTGGAATGTTAGGGCTTGGCAAAAGGACAGGTGGCAATGGACATTTCCTAAGTTCAGATCTTCAATCAAGACAAGCAGAGGAAAAGAAAATTGAAGTAAAGCTGGCATCCTGCATTCATATTTATTTATCCCACGTTACTAGCACTGCACACACTTAACCAAGAACATAGTCACGTTTTGCACACACAATAAGGTAATTCTAAACAGAGACAGTGATGTTCACCTTCAAAAAGGAGGAGAAAAAAACTACAGACCTGCAAAAATAATGTAGTTTAATACGTTTTGGCATCAGTTTTAGATTGTTGGAAGAACGTTTCTCCTGTGCCACAAAACAGCTGAAAATTCAGCAAATGAATAGTTACAAGGCCAGTAACTGCAGCCTCATACAAGTACAGGGAACCACTGCCACAAAAAGCAGCTGGAGAGTTGTCTGGACAGGAGGAAACCTCTCATCTCTCAGGGAGTTCATCCCTGGGACAGGTCAGCAATGAGGCTGTGAAAACTCTATCCCTGAGGCTCGGCATGATGAAGCCAAGCCCTCCTCAATCTGGTGTTGGTGACAGTCCTGCATCTCACGGGTGGGGGGACTGCAAGGCCTCTGGAAGCCCTCTTCAACCAAGCTTTCTATCATTCTATGGTTTCTGGACTGGGTCAATATGTAAATACTATCCATGAATAAAACGATTATGTCTGATACACAGGAGAAGCCAAATCTTTAGATTTATGAAATGGGAGGAAGCTTATTTCCCTGTATTTTTACAAATCTATAAGATTTTTTAAATTAAAACCATTTACTGTAAAAAAACTAAAAAATAAAAATTAAAACTCTCACAGCCTGACTTGACATTTGAGGGGAAAAAAAGTGCAGAGCAAATGCACCTAAATAGTATTTAAAAACTATTTTTTAAAAACTAGGCAATGTTTATAAAATTCAGCATGTAACCTAAATTGTTTTTATGTTATGGTTCTCCCTTGGGCAGAGTAGTTCAAGTTTCAGATGACTGGAGATACTGCATGGCTGTCCTGGGCTGTCAGCCAATAAGTCTTTTCCCAGCCTGATCATGTCAGTGAAAGTCATGCTGAAAAAAATAGTAGGAAAGAGCTTTTCTTCCTGCACAGCATTGATCAAGTTAACACCCTTCCTAGAGTTTCTTTAAAAAGACTGTTGTGGTGCTTCAGAATGGAAAAATGTATCCTGAATGTTAAGAGATGTCTTGTTATTTTTAAAACAGAACATGAAAATGTTCAGTAGGAAGCACATGGCACTGCTGTGTGTTTCGTTGGCCTAGCAAAGGACATAGCAAGGGAAGACTTAAGGCCCATATCTAGCCCCGTATCCTTTCTCCGTCAGCAGCCAATGCTGGATCCCAACAAAAGAGAGTGAGGAGCAGGCTGTCCACCAGTACTTCCTTATCAGACTGTGCTACTTGTCACAGCACTTTCAGTATATTCACCAAGAACTCAACACCCCAGTGATAACTCAACCACTGTGCAATTTGGGGTCTAAACTATGTGTGTATCAGGATGTTGCCAACACACCTGGAAGAAAAATTTGCATGTTTCAAGACTAGGCTTGGAGGAAGAGGATTTACACTGCAATTGCATTCTACATGCTGTTAAGGGAATGCCCATAGATAACTCTGCTATTTAGAAGAAACACAAAATGCTCACAAGAGTACAATGGTGCATCTCTTTTAAATCAAGGCAGGTTTAATCAGGAAGCCTAGATAATTAGAACATTTTCTAGAGACAACTTAGCTCCTGCTAACAAATGATCATGGCAGTTGTGCAAGAAGAACAACAAAATGTTTGACAGAAAGAAGGTCCTGACCAGCCGCAACCAAATGCTACAGCTATAAGCTTTCAGCTGTGGGACAGACTCTTAACATAATGCAGCACCCACTCAGTAAAGAACAAATGCAGATATCAAAGAATGAATACATTTTTTTCCTCCACATTAGTTAAAATTGAGTTTCTTCCAGTTTGTCCCAAACGCTTTGTATTTCATATATATAGTCTTAGTTGGAAGCCCAAGATTAAAACACGCCTCTTCCTACAGTCAAGCATACGAATGTTATCCAAGACAACCGGATGTGCTGGAATCCTACAAAACAAAGCACAAGTCAGTCTCTGTAGTGCTTCCTCGTTAAGTAAACAGACAAAAAAGAGAGGAGAGAAAATATTCCGTTAACTTCACTTGTGAAAAGTTCCAAATTCCCTCCTACCTCCAAAGAGAAAAGCAGATTCACCTGAGAACTGGACTCTACCAGTGCTCACAGCAGGTCAACCAGATGGACAAACCTGGTTTCCCTGGAAGACTCTGGGCACAGCCGGACTTTTCCCTGAAGGCCCAACACCAAAGTGTCCCAACACTTTGACTTCTGGCAAGCTTCAGAGGAACTAAGTGTATGGAAAGAGGCCAGAAATGGGTTGCAGAGCTGTTGTGTTGCTCATGAGTGTGAAGATAACCAGAGGGCAATGGCAAGCCAAGGCCATTTTCATCTGCAGACACCTTGTTAGCCTCTTGGGCTAGATGTTGAGGATTTTGTCTCAGTGTTCTTCTCACACTCAGTTTTCCTTCTTGGCCAAAATAATTTGGTAGTCAGAACTGAGCTGCACACAGAGCGTGGCACTAAAGGAACAAGATACCTCTTTTGATATTTTTGTACAGTTGGAAGTTTCTTCTGGAGGAAAATGAGCTCTTGCTGGTTTGCTTATAGAAGCTTGATCTGGTATTTTATGCCAACAGCCGCAGCACCATTATCACCAAGGCCCTTAATGGACGCTGGCACAATCGTCTTCCTCAGATCCATTTCACTTGCAGAAGTAAAGAAGGCTTTTGGAGACGGTTGCTCAGAGCATGCTATGACTTTTACAGGCTGTCCCAGAAGGCAAAGCTTCAAGCTTGCAACTTGCCCTCTAGAAATGTCACGGGGACTAAAAAGCACATCCAGGTCACCTCCAGCCCAGCTCCACTGCCCCGAGGGTGTGGCGGGCATGGCAGCCTGGGGACTCACCAGCCATCACAGGTTGGAGGTGAAGCCACCTGGTATTGACCCTCACTGCCAAGCTGAAGGAGAAGAAGTTTGGCAAGAGAAGGTGGCAGCAGCAGGAGAAGCAAGAATTGGCTGTGCGAGGAGAGGCAGCTGGGGGAGGGTGAAGAGTTGAAGCGAGGCTGCAGGTTCGGGCAGATAGGAGCTGCTGGGAGTACAAAATTAACTGCTTGCGGCTGGGAGATGCAGAACTGATTTGAGGCTAGGAGTGCACGGAAGGTGGGAAGTTGATGGAGCCAAAATTAATTGATGTGTGCGCAGAGCTACATAATTCACTGATGTAGAGATGTGAGGGTTGCATAATTTATGTAGGCCAGGAAGGGCACAAAATTAAGTAATTGGGGTTTTGGTAGAAACCAGAATACTTCATGCCATTATGCCATTCTTTTGCAAGTTTATATAATTTTTTGTTGTTACCACAACAGTTATGAAAGGGGTCTGACTGCCCACACACTGAAGGGTTATGAGTAGTAAACATACACAACATTCTTCAGAGGAGCAACAGCATTCAGGAAGGTAAGATAATCATCAAGTAATACATAGTATCATCAATAGAAAAAACACACTTTAATTAAGAAGAAACTATTGCCCTTTGAAAAAGAAATGCTTAAATTCTGTACTAATTAAAATAGAGTATTACTTCAAAATATAGCATTGGAAAAGATAGATGGTTCAAAAATGTGTATTTTGTGTGCAATTATGAAGATAATTATTTCAGGAAACAAAACTTAAATATGCAAAGCCAGGAAAATATTTGTGGTTCCTGTTAAGAATGAACTAGAATTAACCCTAGGGCTTTGCTAATTTTCTTCTTCTTTTCCTTTTTTTTTTTTTTTCTTCCCAACATAGTTAGCTTTTTTCAAAGAATGCTTGGCCATTTCAGCAACTACATCATCAAACAATGCAGAATTGTAACACTGCTAGAAGCACCCACAGCTGATGAGCCTTCTCTAAGATGGAAAAAATAGCTCTCCTATTGACATACTTCTTCAGTTACATTTACATTCATCAAAATTTTCTTGATTGGATCTTACAACAAAACTGCATACATAACATAAATGTAATACCAGGAAACATAGTGAACGCTGACAAAAATTTTGATAGCAAAATGTAAATTACGTAGCAAAGCATAAGCTGCACAGTAAACTGCATATTTAGTTGTGTAAGAGAGAGCAAGTAGGTTCAGCAGGTAACAGAAGTTCATCCGGAGAATTAATGTTACTGCATGTTCTCTGCTGCAATCAATCTCCACAAGTAGGAACAGATTTTTATATTAACTTTAAGACAAGTATATACTTTATTATTATTATTATTATTATTATTATTATTATTATTATTATTTTAATAACATAGAACCTAAAAAACGCAACTAAAAGTTTAATCCTGCCTTTGGAGTCCATTGAGATTAGACCACAGAAGAAAATGAGAAAACTGGAAATAATAGAACAATCTGTTTCCTTTGTAACTAAATCCTCCCAACTTGAATTAACAATTGCTATCTATGAACCCTGGTTGTAGTCCATACTTACATGAACATAAGAGGTACTTTATATCTTGTAATCTAATTTAGTAATGCAAATCTTTTAACTTTCATCATTAGAGTATTTAAACATATGTAAAGCATTTAGAAGTAAGTCATG